GGCTCCTTCGGGGGCTGGTTCGGGGGGAGAGCTCTCGGCCCGTTGAGCGAGAGGCAGCCCCGCCTGCGCAGAGCGAGGGGACGGGGTTGGTGGGGAGGTCGGGCGGTGGAAATGCAGAAGTCTCTGACTTCCTTCTGAGTCACGGGGTTCGGTGCGGTAACGCCGTGGGTGCTCGGCCGGCGTTGCACTGCTGAGCTCCGCCGCACCCGACAGACAGCGTTTCAGCAGGGGGATATGCTTTTTTGCTCTCCTTTTCTTAGGAGCAAGGTGATTGCCCAGAAGCAAGATCAGCATGCTTTTGCCGACTGCTGGGATTCATCTGATGGGGTGTAACAAGTTTACTTGACACCACCTCCAGTGCTGATCAGATTAGGTGGCACTCCAAGCCTGTTTCTGAGAAACACAAAAAATGTCTGTTGGGACTGTAAAAGAGACAGCCTGTAACAAAGTTCTTGGCCAAAGGGGTGCTTTGTATCCTCCTGCTGATTTGGACCTCGGTGTTAGTAAGCTTGCGCTTCAGTATTCAGTTGTTCTCATCTCATCAGCTGAATTTAATGCGTGCAATTCCCTGTCTACCTGTGGTGGGTTGACCACACAAAACCATTACAGTACCTTAATGTGTGGGGTGCTTCCAGCTGTGTGCCTCTGCCCATCTGGCTGCAAGTTGTGTCAGTTGCTGCTTGCATGTGCTTGGTGGAGCAAGTCATCCTATTCTTTGTTTTCTTTCAAAGCCTGAAGAGGACCAGAAGCTGATTTATTCTGGGAAGCTGCTGCTTGATCATCATTATCTGAGAGAGTTGCTGCCAAAGGTATATAAAAAAATCCTTTATGATGTGCTGAAATACATCCAGAAAAGAGATTGTTTTTTTAACATGTGTTCCTTTATATTTTAGCATGGGGAGTTGCATGCTCTTCATTTGGTATACAACTTCAAGACTCCCGCAAATGTGCAAGAAACCAATGCAGAGGTACTTGTACTAAGTTAGCATATTAAGCTGAATCTTGGGGTTGTGACTGAAAATCAGAAGTGTTGAATGGCTATTTTAAGGTTCACTGGTACTGCAGATTTTTCCTAGTAGTGCAATGGCAGTATTTTGTGATAATTTGTTTAGGAATGTGTGAATGTATTTGGATTAAGCCAAGTAAAAAATTGACTCTACAGTTCATCAGTAAAGGTTCTTGTGGCTTCTGTTAAGAAATATCAAAAGTATAATCTAGTTGTAACACACAGCTCAAAGAAGAAATGCTTTCTGGTAAATTCAGTTTTATTAAATAGAATGTGACTTGTCATGTCCCAGCCTTTTCTGGACAGAGGCTGTGCTTGTGGGCAGATGACGTGGTAGTTAAGGTGGAAGTGGTTCTGATCTGTGTATGGGGGTGTGGGGAAGGAAGAAGGCAGTTAGCTGAAGACATTTTGACTGCTCTCATTAATGACAGCCTGTAGAGCAGAAGCCAAAAATCAGCCTTAGTGCTTGAAGTGAGCACTTACTGGTCTTAAGTGCAAATGGCCAAAACCAATTTTTACTTTCAAGTGGATGTGCTAATGTGTCTTAGAGGTGTGTTTATATTGCCCATTACAGGCAATCTGAGCTTATCCTACCCATGTTTGGTGGTTGCTAGATGTGAGCCAGTTTTGGTCTGGATATTATACAGAGGTATCACCACAGAACAGCTCCTAAATTCTATGTACAGCAGTTTGTGTATGCAGGTACAAACTTATCATAGCTAAAAAGTCAAGCTTGAGTGCAGTTCCTTCTATTTCTTCCAATTACATTTTTATAACAAAATGGGACCTGACTACATGCATAAAAATGAATAAATATAGGTGTAGATCTGGTGAAGGTGAAAAGTAACATTGAGTCAGTTTTAGATGCCAGTCATTTTTTAAGGAACTTTACAATACCGATGGAGGTGCTTGTGGTATGTTGCTCCAGAGCAGTGTCAGAACTGTGTAGCAGTTATAAAATTGGAGCATATTCTGTGTGGCATAACCTTCTTGCTTCAAGCTTGTGTAGTGTCTCAAATAAACCTCATTAACTGCATTGTTGTCCCTAGGTTAAAGCTGATGAGCCAAAGTTACCATCAGAAGCTAGTCAAGAACCATCTGTATCTTCCTCAGATGGTGAAAGACTGAGATGCTCTTCTGGTGGCCAGTCTTCAGCAGAGGCCAGTAACAGGTAAATACAATTTTTACGTACATCACCAGGATTTTTAAAATGTTGGGTTTGTGATAGATGCCAGCTCCTTATGCCACACATGCTGTCTTAAGTCCATAGAATATGGGCCAAATATGATGAGGTTATATATAAAAGCTTTAGTGGACATGGAAGAAGCTAAAGGAAAGTGCACTGGTCTGTTAGTTGAAAATGTTCCCTTTATTCATGTGGGTAAAGAGATGTCTTTAATACTCTAGAAGGAAAAATTAGGCTTGCATTTGGATGCACAAAATGGCAGAAGCTATTTACGTTGTCCTGTAATAAATGACTCTTGCAGTTTGTCCAGTATTTGCTAATGAATGTGTTCAACTTTTGATCAAGGCTGGAAACAACTTGGCATCCCTTCCAAAGTGTGGCTCCTGGCTTCTCTGCTTATACAACCTACAGCATGCTTCAGATGTCCTGGTTTCAGCAGATTTATGCAAGACAATATTACATGCGATAGTAAGTTTTCTGTCAAAAGCTACCAGTAGGAAGTAGAAACTAACACAAGGGTATAGAGAGCTTCTGGCAGTTCTTCCTCTCTTGACGGTGGTTGGAAGACACTTTTTTGTTGTAACTTACACTGAATGGTGTGGGAATGTACCTCTAACTGTATGTGGTTCTTGGCTTCCTGTTCAGGCCAGTGGTTTTGAATCTTGCAACAAATTGCAGATCTCTGATCCTCTTGATTGGGAGGGCAGGTGTCTGTAGAGTAAATGTAATTCTGCTGATGAGCCTTAGCTCTTCACCAATTTTTTTTGACTGCTTAAAGTAGCTCACAGAGCACTGACTGAAAAATGGTGACAGAGGTAAAGCTGAGAATTGCAGAAGCCTTCTAGACTACCTTTTGATTGTTCTAAAGAATTTTTTTGCAAAGTGTTGAAATTTTTGTTCATAAAGTGGAAGGTGCTGGGTTTGACTTGCTGAAGTCACTACGCAACTGTTGGCATGGGTAGAGCTAAAACTTGTTTTTAACCCTTCCATAGCCTCTAAACTTGATGCTTTTGACTTGCATGTGATCTGACTTTAAGTATAAAGATGGACAAATTTTCAGTGCCTGTGTTAAGTGTGAAAGGATTTGACTAAGCCTTATTCTGTACTTTGTGTTCTCTGGTTTCAGCTTGGCTTCTACTGCTGCATTTACTGACCCGTCCCATGCACAACGTTCTCCAGAGATACCGGTGGCACCAGTGACACCTCCAGCTCCTCTCCCAGACCCATTTCCTGCACAAAATCAGCCTGGAAACCAGAACGCTGCTGCCCAGGTTAATGCAGCAGCCAACCAGAACTTGCGGATGAATGCCCAAGGGGGTCCCCTCATGGAAGAAGAGGAGGAGGGTGGCAATCGAGATTGGTTGGACTGGCTCTACTCAGCAACACTGTTCTATGTTTTTGTCAATGTTATCTATTTCTACTCCAGTGTCAGCAGATTCCTCCTGGTTATGGGTGGCACTGTTCTGATGTATCTGTAAGTAGATGGTATTAACTATTGTATTCAGAAAGGTTTCACTGAAGTACTGAGCTCTGTACTGTGGTCAGCTTTCTGGCAGTTGAGCTTCGCATGACTCTTGTACCTGGAAAGGGTAAACCACGCCTCTATCCTGGTATAACTTGCTACTTAGCAAAAATATGAGTGTAACCTATGCCTGGATTAAATGAAGAATGGGTGATAGTGGGTGATCTTACCTGATTTTTGTAGTAAAGCTTTGGGTGTGGCTGGCTTTCTTTTTAAAAAACTACTTGAAACCTAAGCAGCTCTCAGTGTAAAGCCCCAGCAGTTTGGCAGGTGTAGAGCAGACTGACCTGTAGGTTCAATGTAGTAAATGACAGTTGCTTGCTGGGAAACCAGTGTTTGAAGTCTGGGAAGAGGATCTCACACCTGCTATTTAAGTCCTGTACCCATGCAGGTTTTTTCTGCTGTGTGTTGCTGCTCTGGAGAGCAGACCAAGCTAAACTGAATGCAGTGTCCTGAATTGCCTTTGAGCCTCTTTAGAGGGGGGAAAACTTGGGATAAATCTTAAAAGCACACTAAAGATAATGGACCCTCAGCTGACATGCTTGGGCTGTCTTGTCTGAGAGATAATCTGTTCTCAAATTCTTTGATCACCAGTGAAACAAGTGATGTAGGCCTCTGAATTCCTGTTGGTAGGTCTAAGAGTTGAAACTGGAAGCAGCTCAAATGATCAGCTCTACTAACCTCTATGCAGACTTGGAGAGTGAAGGTTAATCGCTTAATGAAAAGTCCTTAAATTTTCCTATTGATAATT